CCCCCCCCCCCCCCCCCCCCCGGCGCCCCAGAATTCCTTTCTTCCAACAATGAGTCCAAGCTGCTGCACATAAGCCACAATGGTTAAGCATGAGCGTCACCTGGCAGGAGTTCTTCTGTCAACATCAGGCTATGTTTTAAGAATGATGCAACCACGCTAGCTTTCCAAGAGTCAGACTGCGCTATTCTAAAAACTTCAAGAAAAAACAACAAGTAAAAAGATGGGTAGAAGCAAAGGTGTAGCATAATTACCAGTTGAAAGTAGAGAAGCCTGACCAGACATTACCCCAGACCTTCCTTATTAAACGAGACACTTGCGAGACCAGTGTTCTAAGTGTCCGGTCCTGCTTTAATCACATTCAGAGCCAAGCCTGGCTATGTGCTCTACAATTTAACCCCAGGACCAACAGCACTGTGGACCAGAGTGAGGGGGCAGTGATGAGAAGAAACAGGTGAGGTGCTAATTCAGGGCATGAAGACACATTACTTATAACTCGGGGGGGGGGGTAATTTTTTTCTTTTTATGGCTTATTTATTTTATTTTGTATGTATGAGTGTTTTCCATGAATATGTGTGGACCTGCTGTGTGCATGCCTGGTGCCCACTAAGGCCAGTGTTGGATTCCCTAGAACTGGAGTTAGAGATGGTTGTGAGCCACCATGTTGGTGCTGGAACTGAACCTTGGTCCTCTGGAAGAGCAGCCAGTGCCTTTAATTGATGACTCTTCTCTTTAGCCCCTTTCCAGAGCAATTTCAAGGTCATAGAAGTCAACTGCCATTTCTTCCCAGAAGATTAAAAGTGCATTACTAAAAACTGTTCAAATGATTACAAAACAAGAGAATATGTTTTTGTTCTGATAAGTAACCTTGACACCCAGTGTAGACCTCAATGAGTGAGGTCGCTCTCTTCCTACTGTGTGCACTGAAACCAGAGCTGGACTAGACCACTCTGCATTCTCTTGTGACTGAAGAAAAAGGCTAATGCTTAGGAAAGCTACATCCCAGAGGGTTCCAAATCCCTTTTCAAGCGGCATGAGGTACTTGGTGTTCCTCTGCAGGCCTCCTCTTGCCTGCATACATATGCAATGAGGACACAGCATGACTAATTAGCTCATCCACTTAGGAGTCTGCAACACTGGTCACTGGAATCCAGCACAGCTTTGGACTCTGCAAACCTAGCTCTACCCACTGGGCACCTTCTCTGACAGCTGCTGCTGCTGAATCTTCTCCTTCTTCCTCCTCTTCCTCCTCCTCTTCTTTTTCTTGCTTAAATAATACATAAGCTTGAGTGCAGGTTTTGAATATGAAGAACATATGTTAACATCTTGGTATGAGTTTTACTTTCATTAATTTAGTGTAGGGGAAGAGCCACAGAGTCAAAGACACAAAACCATTTCATTTGTACTTCTGAATTTCAGTAGAACAATACTAGAATTTCAGGGTTTTTTTTTAATAACCCTCTTTAATAAACTTTTTTAAATATAATGAGTCCAAGTTAAAAGTCACTTTGCAAAATGACTCATCTTTAAGTTGCCTGGAAGAACCTTAACTTTCATTTAAAATGGACCTTCAGGATCCAGCAGGCAGCTCTCTCAGAGGCTGGTGAAATGCCACAGATACATGCCTGAGCTCAAAGAGTAAACTAGCACTCACCACTCAGAGCTGCAGGGACCTCATCTCCTGGGGAGGCTTTGTGGCAAATTCTACACCACTGCTTCAGGACCCTTCGTCCCCACATGCACACAAGACTTCTGTCTTCACCACAGGGAACACAGAACGATGGGAATTTTTCCTCAGAGTTACAAGTTTGTATTTGTCCACTCCATGCAGGAGAAGGTAATCAGTCAAAAGCCAGCACAGGGTTTTACAGTTTCCAACACACACTCTCTCTCCAAAACATGTTTTTCCTCCTCCTTTTCTTCTTTTTCTTTCCTTTTGTTTTAAATCTAGGACTGCTTGGTAAAATTACTCCAAACTTTTCTTTCATTTTCTTCTTTTTTTTTTGGTCATAATTTATTTCTCATCAGGTGTGATGTCTGATAGAATGCAGGTTTGCAGGAAGCCAGGCATCAATATCATAATATCTTTAGCAATTCCAGCCATGTAAAATTGAAGTGTTATTCTAATTAATTAGTTCAAAAATACAGAAACCATACAAACCATAGGACTCAATCTCAACACTCTAATGGTACAAGTTGAGTGTTCTCTGTGAAGGGGAACGGTGTCTCTATAAAGGAAAGGTTCTCTGTTCAGACCTAAGGGAATGCCCGGGATGGTAAACTAAAGAGGACCTGGACTCATGTTAGCAGGGGAAGCACTTTCCCGACCGAGTTATCTCCTCAGCTCCACCCCTACTCTTCTGATGACATCTGCCATGTCTCCCCACTGCACAGACATCCTCACCATGACTCCGAGTCCTTTGTGCTTTGGCTCCTGCTAATGTGTGACCTCCGCCCCCATGGCTTCCCCTTGCTATCCCTCCTTCTAGACCTCCAGGGTCTGCTCCACGGCTCATCTGAGTTCCTTGAACGGGCCAGACCCCGTCCCACTCAGGCTCTGCGCTGTGGCTCTGCCCTCTGACTGAACTCATCTTTCCACTTGTCTTACACAGCTGACTTCTTTTCATCCTTCAGGTTTCAGATGGATGTCGCCCCCTCAGAGTTCCTGCGGCAGGCAGCCTCTTTGGGAAAGCCTCCCACTCCCGGCTCTGGTTTCTCTCTATTATTGCACATCATCGTCTTGTTTATTAATGTCCTGATGATTGGTCACCGGTCTTTTTGACCCCAAGGCAATGACCAGGAAGTAACATAACTGAGCCAGTACAATTAAAGAATAGACAAAATAAAGAAATAAAAGCCGATGGAGGGGTAGGGGTGGGGATAAAGGACTAAAATGAAGCTTCCTAAAATAACACAGCATTTAAAACCTTGGCTATTTTTTAACTCGGTTTTCTGAATAGGATCAACGAGAGCTCCCGATGAATTACAAGTCTACTGTCTAATACTCTCTTCACTTTCGGCATGATCTTCTCCTCATCTGTTAGTCACCAAGACTGCCGGCCTCCCTCATCTCATTCTGCCAACACCCTGTCTCCGTCTCATCCTCTGAGCTGTTTCCACTTACCCTCTTCTTGAAAGATACATCCCAATGTCACTGTTACCTCTCATTTTACTTTTAAAAAAATCAATGTTTTATCTTATTTAATAAGGACAAAACCCCTGACTATCAATTTAGATTGAACTGCTTTTCCCCCCTACTTCCAGCAGGCAGCATTTCCTGATACCCTCTTACATGAGGTCTACACAAATGTTTACCTGTCCATCTCCAAACCAAGTCAAGTTCATGCTCTGTCTGGGTTTTGGCTTGCTCCTACCACAGACTGCCCAGCTTTTCCCTCCCACAGGCAGAAACAGCATGTTTTCTTCAAGACACAGCTCCAGTTCACATCCAACTTGGGTTCATTTGCCTTAAGTTCTGACCCACACTCTCTCCATTTCCACTTCTAACCACATTGCAACCCCAGTTCCATGGCACATTTCATCACGTGACACCTGCAGCTGCTTTTTATATGCAAATGCTGTCTCCACAGTAAGACTGTGTCCTTGCTTCTTGCCCAACAGAGGCAAAAGTGGCAATGATCCAATCCGAGCCACATAGACTGGCACCAAGTCTCAGGAGCCTCAAGATGAGGCTCTCCAACATCAGCAACCATTCCAGATGACCTGCAGGCCCCTGTGGATTTCACTTTCATGTCTTCCCCAGCTGGCTGTGTCTGGAATTCTCTCATCCAAATGAGTTTGCCTTGAAAACTACTAACTCTTTTTTCCACTCTTGGGACAGTCTTGCCTCTAATAACCAGAGGCAATCATCCTTTCCCCCTCTTCCCCACCCACTTACCTTAATCTCTTGTAACATACACCAAGGGCTCCCATTAAACGCTCTTAGCGTCTACACATGGCACCCCTGTGTCTGCCTATTGTGTGTATCTGCCTGCCAACGCCCCTGACTCACTGCTGGGCAAGTCAGGGTCAAAGACTTTGACTCTTATATTTATGTCAGCAGGGAAAGAGTGTACACAATCTATTAAATAAATAAATGCACAAACAAGCAAGCTGTTGATGTGATGTGTTGAACAAGCCCAGAATTTAGTATAAAAGCTATCAATTTAGTATCCAGTAACAGCTATAGCTCACGCCACCTATATGCCTACTTGTTTTCAATGTTAAGATTCTTTTAAAAGAGTTTTTAATTTATGTGTACATGAGTATGTCTGTGTGATTTTATATGCACCACATATGTGCAGGTGCCTGTGGAGCCCAGAAGGCGGCCATGGATCTCCTGAAACCAGTTACAGGAGTTGTGAGGTGTCCAATCTTTGCTGACCTGCATCCTCTGGCAAGAGAAACAAGTGTCCTGAGCCACTGAGCCATCTCCCAAGATCCCCCCCCCAAAAAAAAATTATTTCTTAAGCACCTACTACTATATCTCAGAAATTGGGAGATTCTGGGGGAAAAAAACAAAACAGGCAGAGACAGGCACAGGGGCTGTGGCAGTTTTTTTGTTTATTTTCATTGTTTGTTTTTGTTGTTGTTTTGATGATTGGGTTGGAAACAAAGTGATGAGTCAGGCCTCTTCAGTGCAAGGGATGTGGAGAGATCCTGGTTGGACCAAATAAGTAGCAGCTAGAAAGGTGAGCAGCCAAGGCTGGGTTTGCTTTAAAATCAGAGCCAGCTCTGTGGGCCGATGCACTAGAAGGAGGGTCTGGGGTGGAGGGAGAATGATCGGAGACTGCAATGGGTGCAGCTGTGGAGCAGAATTTGGGGAAGGTGGTGGAAGGATCCGATTTTAGAAAGGGTGAGTAATTTGGAAGCAATTCCTTAAATTTGAGTCTTAAAGTTTAATACGGCACTGTGTATAATTAACCTTCCCTTGAACACTGTTCCAATGTATAAGCTGCCTAGCTCATGTTCACATCTTAAACTGATAAAGCGAAATAGAAAAGCTGTGGACATCTGCAGCCCACATGGCTCCATGAAGCACCACCGTCACATGACCCTCTACAGAAGATACTGCAGGCTACCTGCCCAAACTCTCAAGTTCGAGTTGCCAAAGGACCAGTGCACTGTGCAGTATGGTACAGGCCACGAAGTGGGGAAACACATCATGGTCACAAGAGCAGTTGCATTAGCAATGCTGACATTCTTCTAATTGCACAGATTCAAAGTCTGTGCCAATCAAGTGTCATACGGACACATTAAAAAAAAATGAAAACAGTGTTTTTGCCCCATTCTAACTCGTAATCTAGTCCAAGGTCAGGGGAAATGGCCTAGCCATAGGAATAAGAAAGGCTTTGGAGTGAAAGATCCCAGAGAGCTGACTCAGAATGACTTGAAGCACCTAAGGCTACAAACTGAGATGGATGAGTTAGAGGTGAGGCTTCCAGGCAGCTCCCTAAGGAGGCCAAATAAGCAGCCACTGCGTTTAATGGCTATGATTTGGGGGTAAAGCTGGTAACAATGGTTTGTTTCTTTTCATGCACTGAAGTATATGTCTGTGAAACTTACTGAATTGGGGGATTCAGAAAAAAATGAGACTGTTCATAAACACACAGTGCACATTAAGGGCATATAATGACTATGTCTCTTGCAAAATAATTTAGTGGCAGTCCCAGGGAGTTGTAATATGAGCTTCAGAGTTATCCTTGGACAGGAACAAACCATTCTCACTCAGTCTGTGAGTCTCTTTTTTCTTCTGTCCTTGCTCACAGACTCTAAGTAGTTTACACAATAAATAGTTATTTCCACAGTAGAAATGGCCAACATGTCTCAGTCTCCAACAGAACCTGTTATTATGGTTAGCAATGAGGGTTGCCATTCTTCCAGATTTTCACAGCCACTACTTTTGACCCCACTGATGGAAATGTCAGCATCAGCATCACTTCTGGACTTCCTGACAAAGGCGAATCAGCATGGGAAGGTGCTAATCTTGGAGGAAAGTGGCCCCCAAGCTATAACTTCTACAGTGTAACCATGCAGCAGGTACCACCCACCCCAGGCAAAAGAAGGATTTCATGGAAATGTTCATCCACAAACTTTCATGCTGTCTTACCAAGAACTTCAGTATAACATGCTGATTTGAAATTTTCACATGAATTATTATAATTTGCTGATGGCAATAAACAATAAAATTGAAACCTTCACAGTCTCAGACCATCCCATAAACAGAGATCCTGCCCATGGGAGACAAACTCACATGTGTATCATCTCCTCTTGAAATGCATTCATGACTGCGATGAATCCATGTCCTTCTTATTCTCAAAAAATCATGGTTTAAACGTACTTCCTTTAATAAGCCAGAAAGCTAGAATGGCAAAGGTGGCTCTCACTATGGGATATGCACAGAAATCTTCTGGAAAGTTCTGCAGCACTGAAGGTCTGGATACTAGAGAGAGGGCTTTCGTGTGTGTTCACTCGGCTGTCACAAAAGTGCTCAGTGCACATAAGGCAAGCTCAAAAGCAGCATGAATTTCCATTGCAACAACATTTCCAATGTCATGGCAAAAAAGTGAGATTAGCCAAGACATCCAGAGTCCATCCTCCTGTCACAGTTAATGCATTATATGTCTATGCTATTGTTAAAATATAACACGTAGACAACAAACCCTGAAGTAATCCTAATACAGGAGCAATCAATATATCAACAGGTGACCAATCAAAAGAAGGTTGAGATTTATAAACTGAGGCAGGTAACATCTAATAAACACATCAAGCTTAAGTCAGATTCAAATTCTGTCCTATTATGCTGAAGACAAGAGGCCATGGGAAAAAACTGCTTATATAAGACAGACAAACAAACAAACAAACAAACCATCATCTCAAACCAATCTTGATATTGTACAATATATTATCCCTTATCAAATGTCTCCACCATATTGCTCCCAAGTTTTACAGTATATACTTTAAACTTAACTTTACATCCTGAACTGATGGATAGTTTGCTAATTCCTTTAATTCAAACTTTTGAATTTAAAACTCTATGTATTATAATCTAGTTTTCTATCTCAGACTACTTTGACCAACTATATAAAGGAAATTTGAACAGATGAACGTCAGATCACACACCATACCAAAACAGAAAACAGAAAGCGAGTTGTCTCCTACCTATGGTTGTGATAACAGTACCAGCAAAGAAGAAAGAGCTTCCGAGGTCCCAGTGACTAACTTGATTGGAGCTGTTTCCTAAGGGGATAATCCCTGCATTTATTGCTGCCACTATTTGCTGCAAGTTTAAAAAGAAACTTATCAGTACATGTCAATCATACAGCGGCATCAAACATCTCAACTCCCACCCCAGGTAATGACAAATTACACAAAAGGGATCAACTAGAAGTCGTTGGTTTTTCTATTTAAAAAGTGTTAAAGGATTGAAACTTTATTCTGAAAAATGTAGAATCACTTAAATCATGAAAATTTTACATTTTATAGCAAGTGAATGGATTGACATGGAGCGTCTAATAGTGGACATTTATAGCATCTCCACTGGTATGTTCAGTAACATTTGAATCAACAGCTAAGTATATCAGTGTTCTCTAGTAAGCAACACGGATTGGTTATATATTTAAATATCAGATTGCAGACTACATTTATATAATGCATAAGCCTTCATTAACATGTTCATGATTTCAGATGTGTATGGTCATACCCAAGACTGGGATGTCTACAAGAGCTAAAAGTCTATTTCCAAATATCTAATGAGACACCGAGGTAAGAACAAGAAGACCATGTGATCTGTGAGTAAGTTATGTCCATCTGGTTAGTTCTAGATGCCTTGAATTTCTGCAGATTCTAGTAAACTCTTCAAGGAGAATCACCCATGGTCATCATAAGCAGTGCTCATGGGGACCACGGGATCTGAATGCTCCTTGTGTATGCCCCACAAGAGGAAGACTGGAAGACAACAAGACAATCGCCTCTGGAAGTGTAAATGATGGATGTGGATTACACCAGAAGACAATGTGTAGTTGAAGAGAAGCACTACAATGGCCAGATCACATGTTTCTGCTGCACTTAGAGAACTTTCAGACTTTAGAATTTGGAAGAGTATCATTTGATAGGTGAGGAAAAGGTCAAGACAGCAGGGCTTGTTTACAGTGGCATCGTGGTTACCAGCAAAGGGAGAATGAAGCATGCTCTAGAAATGTGAGGGCACTCGTTCCCCTGGCCACTGGCTGATGGAGAGAGCAAGCAACCAAGACTGCAAGTAGATTTGAAATCTCATTCCACAGCGGCTCACAATGGCAGCCAATCTATAGACTAAAATGACAATACTTGTGTGCAAAGTCAACCGAAACATAGTTATTCTTTATTGTACAGGGCATGTTCATTGTAAAAACAAAATTAAGGAAGTAAGGAAAGATGATAAAAAGATAAAAATATTTACCATTCCAGGGCATAGACACAATTACTGTTAATGCAGTAAGGTGAATACTCCTGATAGCCTTTTTCATTATATTTTCTTTGAGATAGGATCTTACTATGTAGCCCAAGCTGGCCTTACACTTTCAGTCTTTCTGTCTCAGCCTCCCAACCTGTTGTCATTACAGACATGTACCACCACATCTGGTTCAATATATGTTTTATATAGTTAGATTCATAAACTATGTTAAATGCTGAATTATCCATTCTTATTTAATTATAACTTGCTAATGACCAAGAAAGAACTATGTATTGATTAATGCTAACTTTTAATAACTTATTTAATAATGTCCTGATAAGCAATATTATTCCACTTGTTTCTATTTGCTATTCACACACTTAGCATATACACATCATTTATGTGCTGTTATAAAATGCACTGTATTATAAAATACTCTTTTGTAAATATATTTGTGTATAAATATCCCCCTGTTTCTTAACATTTCCTTGGAGACATTGCTAGAAATCAATTAGCCACATTAAAGACTATTAATATATTATAATGCTGGATGGGAAAATAGACATTATCTACCCAGAGAACTCTGTTTACAACTGTCTCCCAACAATAGACAAAGGCTTAGCAATCATTCTAATACTAATAACACTTTATCTTCACTGGACTGATAACAAATGTTTAGATTATATATTCTTTATTGTAAGTAATATTGGATACTAGTGTTTTATATTTCATTTCATGAATGAACAAATGTTCACATGCAAACATGTGCCCAGCATGCAATGAAGCTGGTTCTGAAAAAGCTAATTCTGCTTGTCTGACTCTGCGTTCTTAGTTCCAGACAATGAAGGTTTCCCTTCACTGTCCATCTTTTGAAATGCACTCTGTTGAGCCTGGTGGAGCAGGCCTGTAATCCTGGCTATTCCAAGGGCTAAACCAGGAGGGTTGTGGAATTCAAGGCTTGCCTGAGCTACAGAGTGAGCTCAAAGCCAGCCTGGGTAAATTAGCAAGACATGGTCTCAAAACTAAAAGAAAGAAGGCAGAGAAGGAGGGCAGGGAGGGAGGGAGGCAGACAGACTAGGGCTGTAGCCTGGTAATAGAGCACTTATGAGGCATACACTAAGCCTGGGTTGTAGCCCCAGCAGCAAGCACAGGCAAAATTAAAAATAAAAATCATGCTCTGTGTGGTTCCATGCAAATTTTGCTTCCACAGATCAGTATACTTTAAATGCTAGCCAGGCATGGGGATGCACATCTGTAACTCCAAGCAGAAGCAGGAGGGTTGCGAACTCAAGGCTAGGCTAGAAAGACCTCTGTGCATAGTCGCTCATGCTGCTGTATGCCCCCCTCTCTCCCTCCCTCCCTCTCTCTCTCTCTCTCTCCCTCCCTCCATCCTCCCTCCCTCTCCCCTCTCCCTCTCTTTTGTACAGACTCTCAGCACACACAAACCAAACATTCGCACATTTAAATACATGAAATCTATAAAAAGGAAAATGAACAGCCCCATAGCAGTATAGACTTCCTACCAAGGCCACAGCTTAAATCTTTACTTCATCCCAGGCAACACAGTTGGGATGTTGGTCCATATGCCATACAGACCTATATGACTACTTTTAAAGAATTCACTTTTTTTCTGTTTTAAATTAAAATTTATTTACCAATGTTGAATACACAAAAGTATATTTCTCATCTTTTGAGTTTTCAGTGCTTGGAAGTTTTAGTCTTAGAACCATTTTATAGCCTGACCACTTACTGAAGAAATCGATGTTTTTTATTTTGTATGTTTAAATTATAAATATTGATGTTTACTGCAATATGTAGTGAGAAGCGAGGCAGCTTTACGATTTTATAAATATTTTTAATGCATGGCCTAATAAAAGACAGATGTATCCTAATACACACTTTTGCGGTCAGTCTGTTGGGGCAGCCCATCCCATAATCTCCAGGAACCTGGAGTGTACACGAATAAAGCAGAACGTAAAAGACAAAAGAATCTTCATGATACTGAGAAAACTGCTTTGGGGACTGGGGAGATGGCCCAGCAGTTAAGAGCATGTAAGTCTCTTGCAGAGGACCTGGGTTTGGTTTGAGCCACATCAGGTGGCTGGCTCACAACTTCCTGTAACTCCTGTCCAGGGGATCCGACTTCCCCTTCTGGCCTCCTCAGACACCTATACTCACATGCACACACCTACACAAGACATATAATCAAATAAATCCTTAAAAAATTAACAAGAAGCTTCTAGGGACCAAGTTGGAGGACCATTGCTTGAACTCATTATTTGTGTTTGTTCAAATTTGTTTTCTATCTGAGGAAAAGATTGTTTCTATATTATGGCCTTTTAGCTCATGTTTTTCAATAACTATGCTTTATTGCTTTTCATCTTTTCATCAGAATTCCCACAGCAAAGTTGAATAAGAACAATGAAAGCAGTGTTTTTCTCACCTAAAATTCTCAGCAAATAGAGTATTATATCATTAAATGTATTGAATATTGGTAAGCAAATTTCATTTAAATACTTTATGAGAGCAGGTTAAAAAACTTAAATAAAACTTTAAAGAATATATATATTGGTAAACAAGGCTGGAGAGATGACCCGTGGTTATGAGTATATGCTACTCTTCCCAAAGATACTGGTTCAGTTCCCAGCACCCAGGTCCAGTGGCTCCCAACTGCCTGTAACTCCAGTTCCAGGCCATCGGATGCCCTCTTCTGGACTTCACAGGCACCTGCACTCATATATGCACACACCCAAAAAGTAAAAATGAGAGAAAATGTTTTGTTAATAAATCTTTTTTTTTTTTTTT